GCCCAGACCGAGAACACCAAACCTACAAATGCCAAAGATCCCGGAGTGGGGAGGCACCTGGGGGCTGAGGGGCACTGACCCACTCACGGACAGCCCTGCGCTCCGGCAGGACTAAGCACCGTGGACAGAGGCGCAGGCCCTCACCCTCCCCAGCCCCAGGTCCTGACTCCTCTCCTGCACATGACCCTGAGCTTTGTAACTGCGAACATCCTCACTTTGCCTAGGGGAAACTGAGGCACGGAGGGCCCAGTGTCACGTGGGTAGTCTGTTGTGGAATCAGGCTGGGGACCCAAGGATGGCACTGTCCAGATGGACAGCTTCTCCTGCAGGAAGTCCGGCTTTCCCCCTTGGAGGCAGGGAGAAAGCGTTTCTTTGCAAGGCTGAGCTAGGGACAGTCTCGGGGCACTGGGGCAAAGGTCACACAGTCAGTCCCTCCTCCCACCCCTACACCCCCAAAATGGGGCACACCCAGACATTAAGACAGAGCAATACCGACACCCAGACCAGCATCACTTCACCCCAGCAATGGTGTTCCTTCCCCTCCCTAAGAACCTCCTGTAAGAATTCCGAGCCCAGAATGCTAAGCCATCCCAGCAGAAAGGGACCGTCGAGACGCCCCCTTTTAAAGGAACGAACGTAGGGGGAGGAGAAGGGAGGGCCTGATGGTACCCAAGCCCTTCCTGGCAGGCTTCCCAGGCCAGCTCACTGTGAACACCACACTCCCAGCTCCATGAGGGCAAGGGGCTCTGCCCTGCAGCCCCGGGACCTGCTGCCTCTCAGGCCAAGCCTGAGCCTCAGTGGACACCGGGCCCAGTTTCTTTGGAGGGAACTGGTGGGAAAGGCCGCGACAAGAACGTGGTCTGAGACTGCTCCCAAAACCCATTTCCTGCAGGCCTCATCGGTCCTGCTGGCCTCCAAGGTTCTCCAGGATGAGAACTTCACAAATGTTCTTCTGCTTTTGGAGGCTTGAGGAAGCCCCAGTCTAACCTGGGCAGAGAAGAGACATAACAAGGAAGCCATGTCATCCGGTGAAGAGGCCTCGGGACCGGGCCCCGGAAAGCTGACGGGCTGTGCGGTCTCTTCCCCACCCTCCCCAGGCCTCAGCATCCCCACCCCTCAGTCCCCGGGCCGCTGGGGACACGAAGTGAGACCAAGTGCCTGGAAGGACCGCATGACAAAGGCAGCGGACCTAACAGTAAAGACGGACAGAGGGCCACCCACATCTCATACCAAGATGCTTCCGGAAGCCCCGTGACTCTCCACCGCCTCCCCCGGCACAGGTTCAGCCGAGGGACAGAAAAGGGTGAGAGGCCAAAGACATGGAGGACGAACATGGACGACATCGACAGAGGGAACACAGAGGTGGGGGCCGGCCAGCATTTCCACACAAGACCCTGTAGAGAACTTTAAAAAAATTAAAAATTAAAAACCTCCCCGACATTTCCAACCACCAACTTGTCTTCTCTGACTCCCCCAGGAAGTCCCCCCTGGGCATCCTGAAAAAGGCACAAGGAGAGGGCGTGAGGGAAGTGCGAGGCTGCTCCGGTATTAGCAGAAGGGCGGGGAGGATGGTGGAAGGAAAGAGAACACAACCAGAGCCTCATCCGCGGCCCTGTCCCCGAGGGGGGAACAACACCGAGAGGGACGACAGGAACAAACAGTACCACGAGAAACGAGCTGAGTCAAAGGCCCATCTGCTGACTAGTCAGAAAGGGCCATCCCATCAAGGTGCCCCAGGGAGGTGAAGGGTGGGCCCTCATGCCGACCAGACATACATCCTGGCAGGCCCAGGTGCCAACCCCCTACCAAAACATGCAACGTCCTCTGGCAGAAAAGGCATTACATACTTGCTAAGGGCTCGACTCAGCTTTGCAAGGCAAAGTGTCTCCAGGGGGCGCCTGGGTGGCTCAGTCAGTTGAACATCTGCCTTTGGCCTGGGTCCTGATCCCAGGGTCCTGAGACTGAGCCCCCTGTAGGGCTCCCTGCTCAGCGGAGAGCCTGCTTCTCCCTTTCCCTCTGCCCCTCCCCGCCTCTCATGCTTGCACTCTCTCTCTTTCTTGCTCCCTCCTGCTCTATCTCAAATAAATAAATAAAAATCCTTTTTTTAAAAAAGAGGGGCGCCTGGGTGGCTCAGTGGGTTGGTCCTCTGCCTTTGGGTCAGGTCAGGATCTCGGGGTCCTGGGATCAAGCCCCGCATCGGGCTCTCTGCTCAGTGGGGAGCCTGCTTCCCCCTCTCTCTCTCTCTGCCTGCCTCTGCCTACTTGTGATCTCTCTCAGATAAATAAATAAAATCTTAAAAAAAAAAAAAAAACTTTCAAAAAAACTAAAGAAAAAGAAAAATTTAAAAAGGAAAAAAGAAAGAAAAGTGTCTCCAGGACAACAGGGCAGCAGCTGGACCTCTGTGAAGGTAAGAGGGTGCCCAAGTAGAAAGGGCTTTCTGTGGGGGTCTCCAGGTCCCCAGGCTGGGCCCGTTCTAGAAGTTCAACAAAAGGAAGAGAAGTTTGGAAGCTGCCCCTCTCATGCCTGTCTCCCCATCTGGACAACAAAGGAGCTCGATGACATGATCCCCAACATCCCTTCCTGTTCTAAGAGTTTTACAAGGCCTGACATTCTACTAAACAACCCATCTGGTCCGCTCAGGCCCTCCTCTCTGGCGCGGACTGCCCTAAACATTCAAGCAGAGCTTCAAACCATTTTCAAACATTTCTGGACTTTTTCATCATGAGAAAGTCACAGGCAATTCATCATCCATCAAAACAGGAGCGTTGCACTCCCAGGTTATGAAGGTCAAAAAAAGGACAATGTCTCCTCTTGGGCCACTAAAAATCACACCAGCATTCATACCAAACACAACAACAGCAAAGGGCTCTGATCAACCCGTCAAGAGAGCTTCCTGCACCGGGTCTAGAAATGTGGCCACCAGGGGGCGCCTCCCAGAAAGTAATAAAAGAAGAAAAACTCTTTCTTGGTGTTTTCTTTTCCTTCTTAAGCTTAAGTGATAAATATCTAGACCTGCTCTAATGAAAACCCAAGTGGGGCTTCTTGAGGTTCTAGAATGGCCCAGATGCTTTCTGTCTTCTCTCTGAAGCCAATATTCTGGCCAGAAGTAGGCATCCAGACTCTGAGGGCCACAACCTTCTCTGAGAAATTAACCCTCCACGCTGGATTTCCCCCGGAATGGTTGACTTCAGGGCTTGCCTTGCACGCCCACTCTGGCCCGAGTGGAGGGAGAGGCCATCTGCAAGTCCAGCGGCAAGACCCAGCCCCGAGTCTGGGCTGGAAGTGTTTTGCAAGAGGCACCTAATTAACGAGCAAAACATACCAGCCAGATGACAAGCCTCGTGCTCTAGCTGCAGACACAGGATGACACAAATACAGACAGACCTCAGGAGAAAAGGGTGCAAGGTATTAGCTGGGATTTCCCAAGACTCAGATGACTACAGGAGGAGCTCAGGGACCTCACACCAGCATGGGGCTTCAAAGATATGTCAAAGGGACTTCTTCACGTCTCCTATGTCTCGGGGACTTTTTCCATAAGTGTGTGTGTGTGTGTGTGTGTGTGTGTATCTGTGGTGCCATGTTCGAGCATTCTTTTTTAAGGTTCCGAAGTTCTAGGACCCATTTTCAAAGTTCTAGCTGCACGTCCCTCCTGATTTCCTGATTTCCTCCTGAATTCCCGAGCTGCTTGGCATGCCCCACCACCCATGAAAAGCTTGCTTTCTCCTGAGGAAGACAGCCTGAGAAATGGCAGCCAAACTCCATCCCCAGGCCAAAGGATGCAGAGCCAGGAGCTGTTTCATAGGAGCTGTGCCCAGGGCAAAGGAGCAACAGGCCCTAGGGATGGGCAGGAGGGGCACAGAGGTGCCACAGGCTGGCAAGTGACCGGCTCAGACCTGCCACTTGCTCTGCAGACCAGGAGATAAGGAAATCCAATTGTTCGATTCTGCGACACATCTGGGGACCCAACGGGGGCAAAAGTGCAAATAGAATACACTTTCAACAATCAAATCTACCAAGAGGAGACACTGCAAAACAAAAGGATTCCACCTACACTTTGCAAAAGGGTTGGGGAGCCAGAGTCTCTTGGGATTTACCTAACAGCTTCCCAGGGGTAAAGCCACGGCTGTAGAGCAAGGTGAGGTGTACCTGACCCAAGACTGGAAGCTTCTGTAATAGACTAGAAATGTGATCTTCTTAAAACACCATGAATCCCCACCATTGATCACCAGCATGGGGGCAGGGGAGGGAAGGGGGGGCGTCAGACAGAGGAAGGCCATTCTACATCACATACATTTATCCCACCTCCTCTGCACCAGCCACTCCCTAGCTCTAGAACCCCAGGCGGACAGGCAAGGCGGGGGACCCCACCTTTCTGCAGATCAGCTCTCCCTTCTCAAGACACGTGGCCCAGAATCACCACCCTGGTCAATTCTCAGGGCCGGTGCGAGGCTCTAATGAGACAGCAAATCACCACATACATGCCAAGTATTGCTACTCGCCGCACACAGGCTCAACCCGGTGACATGCAATGACAGCGTCAAGGGCTGCACACGCGGGGCACACAGTAGGTGGTCCGCAAACGTACAAATAGCGGTGCCCTTCTCCACGAAGGGAACGAAGGAAGAAAAACGCTCCAATCCAAAAGTAACCTCCAGCCACACGCAGACAGCGTGGACTCCCCGATTGCCCAGATCCCTCTGCCACCTTTAGCGGCGCCGCCGACGCGCTCTGGGAAGCTGGGGTTTTCCCCACCTGGGAGGGGGGGGGTTGGGGGAGGTGGTCACCGTGCACCTGAGAACCCGGGTCCCGGACACACCGCCCATCCTGGCCGCCGCTTCCCTCGAGCACAGCCGGCAGCCACCACAGCCACCTGGCCGCTCGGACTCAGTATCCCCGCGCACCTCTCCTTCCCGAACACTCCAGCTTCCCGAAACAGCCGCTGAGGCTGAGCCGGGCTCGGGCCGGGGGTCCCCGGGCGCTCGAGCCCCGTCCCTCCTTACCTGCACAGCTCGGCGAAGGCCTGGAAATTCAGCTTCTTGATTTTCTTCTCGCTCAGCCAGTAGCCAACTCTTTTCCCTTTCAGAAAGGTCTGCATCTTCCTCCTCGGGCGGGGAGCTCGGGTCCGGAGGAAATCGCCCACAGGCCGAGTGTGGCGGCCCGGCGCGCGCCGCGAGCGTGCGGGCACCTCCTCCCGCGGCGGGGACGCGGAACGGGGCTCGGGGCGCGCAGTCCTGCCGGGAGGGGCGGGCCGGGGCGGGCGCCCGGGCGGAGGGAGCGGCGCTCAGCGCGGCGTGCCACTGGCTGCCGCCGCCGCCGCCCACGCCCCCGCCGCCCGCGGGGCTCGCCGGCGCGCCAGATCGCCAGCGCCGGGCCGGGGCCGCAGCGGGCCCCCGGAGCCCAGGGACCCCCCCGGGCCGCACGCCCCCCGGCGGCCGCGGCGGCGCGGGCGCGGGCCTGGCCCCCACCCCCACCCCCCGCGCCCTCGAGGCTCCTCCTCCCCGCTCTCCCGCCCGCACCCGCGGGCCCCGACCCCGAGCCCGGGGCGGCGCTATCCGCTGCCGCGAGCCGGGCGCGTGCCCTTCCCGGCGCGCTCGGACCCCGGCGGGGCGCACGCGGCCGCCCGCGTCCCACCCCCACCCCCACCCCCCCGGCCCGGCCCAGCCCGCCATCCTCACCCGCCTCCAACGCCGCCGCCGCCGCCGCCGCCTCCTAGTTCTCGTCCCCGCGCGCAGCCTGTCCACCCGCCGAACCCGGCCCCGCCGCCGCCGCCGCCGCCGCCGCGCTGACCCGGCCGGCCGGCCCGCTGGACCCCGCCGGGGCGGAGGAAGCGCCGCAGCTCCGGCCGCTAGGGGGCAGCGTCGCTCGCCGCCTCTTAAAGGCGCCGCGCTCTCCCGGCCTGGCTGTTTGCGGCGTATTTGCGTCCGGGCTCAGGCGGGTGAGCTTCGGGACGGAGGGCGCGGGACTGGGTGTAGGGCGGCCATTGCCCAGGGGTCGTTGCTTATTAAAGGAGCAACAGGCGTCATGCTGTGGGCGTTTTCTGCCTGGCCTGTGGGAGTTTCTTAAATCAAAAGCACCTCTGTACCCCCAGCAGTGTTCAGCGCCCCCCCACCCTGAGTAATTCAGTAGAATTGCAGTTGCGGGGGGGGGGGCGGATACGGACATTCAATGAGGTCATCTCATTGAGGAGACAGACCCCTGCCCAGGGCGGCGGAGGGGTGGGGGGAGGAGGACTGCCTGGGGTGGTGACCTGAACACCCAGGGTCTTCTCAGACTTAGGATGCTGATTGCCTCCCCGGGTCCCGTTTAACTATGTGGGGACGGGGCGGGAGCTAGAAGCATGTAAGATGAAGCTGGAACACTTCCAGGAGACCCACTGCTTTCGGAGTTTAAGTCAGCGGTAGCCTCAGTGCCTTTAACCCTGCCTCGCCCGACCCCGCCCGGCCCCGCCCTGCCCTGCCCACGCCCTGTGAGGCAGGGGAGCCTCCAGCCTTTTTGGAGCCTTCAAAGAGCTCCGGGTTTGGGAGGAGAAGACATCTCAGGCTCAGGCAGGAAAAATGAATGAGGGGGGCGAGGCTCAAGGTTTCAGAGGGAGACATTTCAGCTGGCCCGGGAAAATAAGGAAGATTTTGGTAGGCCTGAGAAGGGAGAATAGCTAGAACAGAGGTAGAGAGAAAGAACCAAGTTGTTAGGAATGACACTCTCCTTGACCAAACTTGGGCTCATGCTTTTAAGGCGCAGACCTAGGGGCCTGCCTTCTTCCCCTAATTACAACCTCCCCCACCCCTCTTCCTGCTGGTCTTCCAAGTTGCAACTAGGAGAGGCTGGTCTGCCCTGAGACTTGGGGAGTGATCACACGTGACCACTTCCTGCACCTCTGACCTTGATGCGCACTTACTGGGTGACCTTGCAGTCCTCTGAGCCTCTCTGGGCCTCGGGTGCTCCCTCTTAGCGCAAGAGATAAGCCCTGCTTCATGAGAGCCCTTGACACTTCGAAAGTGCAGTGACTGTGAGGTCTAAAACGTGTGACGTTGTGGGGCGTGGGGAGATGGAGACCGGGCCTGGGGGTCCTCGTTCAGCTCCCCTCAGCTTGGACCAGTCACTGTAGCCCTCCGAGCTTCAAGGTGGGGAAAGTCATGCTTGCCTTAAGACTCCAGTGAGGATGAGAACGGGGTGACGGGCTGGTCCTCAGCAGGCCTCCAGAAATCGTGCTTGCTAGTGACTCAGCCAAGGACTTTTAACTTGAGGCCCCGTTAAGAGCCCACCCCACCCCAGGACTTCCGGAACCCCTGCAGCCGCCAGACCTTGGGTACACGAAGGCTTTTTACACACGTGGCTCTGTGATTTGCCCCAAAAGAGCCAGTAATGACTCCATCTTGCTTTCTTACTCATGAAGAAACGGGTCCAGAGAGGGAAGGGGATTCGCCAGGGTCACTGAGCAAGTACATGGGAGAGTTGGGACCAACAACGCAAGGCCAAGGGGCTCCCCCCCTCACCTTGGCTCACCGTCCTTCTGGAGGTAGGAGGCCTGGGGAGTGAGGGGCAGACGGGTTCTGAGAAGTGGATCACTGCTGGAGGTATAGCCAAATCCCCCCCACGCAGTGGTGGGACCAGGGATCCACCCACATTTCTCTGGACCCCTGGGCAGGTGCTGGCTTCAGTCCTCCTCTCCAGTAAGAATGGGAATTTCTCTGGTTTTTAGCTCTGTGTTCAGTTCTTGGTCATCCCGTGGAAGGGTGGGATTCTGGCGCTAGAACCACCGTCCACAGTCGTCCCACTTGGACTAAAGGAGTGAACCATTTCGCCCATCCCACTGCAGCCCAATGGATCGGTCTTTGGATGTGAGTTGACCTCAGGGAGGGGCATGACCTTGGGGCAAATATTTCTCAATTTACTACGTCCTGCACCTCTTTGAGTAACCACAAAGCCTACCAACCCTTCCTTCCTTGTCTGTCCCCTGTAGTCCCCTCCAGACTGTTCTCCACTCTTCAGCCATAACAGGGTTCAGAAAGCAAATCCGCCGTACTTGGAATAAAGCCAAAAGTCCTTGACAAGACCACCACCTCCCAGCCTCATCTCCCACAGAACTCCCCTCACCCTGCCCCCACCATCTTAGCCTCTGGGATGCCCGCCTTCCCTAGGGCCCTTACATTCGGTCCATTTTCCTGGTGTGTTCTTCCCTTTTTGCTTATGAAGTCATCCACCGGCTCTCAGCCCAGAGGTCCCTTGCTGGCATCTCAACCGTCTAGTTTCCCTATACCTTCAATGACCAGGAAACGAATCACACTTGTACTCTTACTTGACTCATGTTTGTCCCCCACTGTGAGCCCCTCGAGGGCAGGAACTGTGTTTTTTATCTTCTTACCACTCTGAGTTTCTGAACACAATAGTACATCCGACTGGCTGAGAGTCTGGGTTCGGTGTGGCTTCAGAAGAAGTCAAATTTCTTCTACCAGCGGCCTGCGCAGAAGTGCTCATAAAAGTGATCAGATAGGGGCGCCTGGGTGGCTCAGTCGGTTAAGCGGCTGACTTCAGCTCAAGTCATGATCCCAGTCCTGGGATCGAACTCCGCATCGGGCTCCTCACTCGTCATCTGCTTCTCCCTCTGCCTCTCCCACGCTCCTGTACACATTCTCTCTTTCTCCCTCTCAGATAAATAAAATCTTTTTTTAAAAAGTGATCGGATATGGGGCGCCTGGGTGGCTCAGTGGGTTAAAGCCTCTGCCTTAGGCTCAGGTCATGAACCCGAGGTGCTGGGATCGAGCCCCGCATCGGGCTCTCTGCTCAGCAGGGATCCTGCTTCCTCCTCTCTCTCTGCCTGCCTCTCTGCCTACTTGTGATCTCTGTCTGTCAAATAAATAAATAAAATCTTAAAAAAAAAAAAAAGTGATCGGATAGGGGCACCTAGGTGGCTCAGTGGGTTAACCTCTGCCTTCACCTCGGGTCGTGATCTCAGGGTCCTGGGATCGAGCCCTGCATCGGGCTCTCTGCTCAGCGGGGAGCATGCTTCCCCCTCTCTCTCTGCCTGTCTCTCTGCCTACTTGTGCTCTCTCTCTGTCAAATAAATCAATAAAATCTTTAAAAAAAAAAAGTGATCGGATAAATGGATGTCAGGTTAGTCCCCCCAGGCGATCCCTGACCTCTCTTGAGGTAAGAGGCGAAAGTAGGAAAACTCCAGACCCCAAACCGGAACCTGGAGACGTCTACATTTGCTCTGAGAGGCAGATGGACCATTAAGGGATTAAATGGTCTATTGTGCGTCTGAGTCCTGGGGCCATATGGGAGAGGATTATTCCAGAACTGGAAGAGGAGCTGTGGTAGAGGGAGGGCATTGGGGAGGAAGGGCACTGCCAAGGAGTAGAGGTTGGCCGCCTGGGAAACCCTCCTAATCCCAGTCCTTGGGGAGGAGACGCAGGTTTTGGGAAGTGAGACAATGAAGTGATGGAGACTTCAGACCTAGGATACAGCTGATGGGCATTGGGCAATCTTCCTAACCTCTGTGAGTCTGGTGTTCCTGATCTGAGATCCATAAGATGGTATGTTTTAGTAGTAGACTGGTTACGAAAGTCCTGGTTACTGAGGGTTGCTGGGGGGTGGGGAGGTAGGGGCAGGGTGGTTGGGTTATGGACATTGGTGGAGGGTACGTGCTATGGTGAGTGCTGTGAAATGTGTAAGCCTGATGATTCACAGACCTGTACCCCTGGGGCAAATAATGCATTATGTGTTAATAAAAATAATTTTTAGGGGCGCCTGGGTGGCTCAGTGGGTTAAGCTGCTGCCTTCGGCTCAGGTCATGATCTCGGGGTCCTGGGATCGAGCCCCGCATCGGGCTCTCTGCTCGGCAGGGAGCCTGCTTCCTCCTCTCTCTCTGCCTGCCTCTCTGCCTGCTTGTGATCTCTCTCTGTCAAATAGATGAATAAAATCTTTATAAATAAATAAATAAATAAATAAAAATAAAAATAATTTTTAAAAAAAGAAAGTAAGTCCTGGTTATACCCATCCTGCACCGGTTTGGCACAAGTAATTCAACACACTAGTTCAGATGCAGCCAGCCTGCGGTGACCACTTATTATCTGTGTGACTATGGGCAAATTAATAAATCTGGCTGAGCCTCGGTCTTATAATCTATTAAATAGGACACCAAAGATAAATAATTTTAAAAATAAAATAAAGAGTGCCTGGGTAGCTCTGATGGTTAAGCGTTGACCCTGGATTTGGGCTCAGGATCTCAGGGTTGTGAGATCAAGCCCCCTAGCAGGCTTGGTGCTCAGCGGGGAGTCCCCTTGAGAGTCTCTCCTGCCCCTCTCCCCCCTCCACCGCCCGTACTCGCTTTCTCTTTCTCGCTCATAAATAAAATCTTTAAAAATAAAATAAGTGGGAGTGACTATCAAACCTAGTTCATAAAATCATTAAGAAGTTTAAATGGTTGAGGGCACCTGGGTGGCTCAGTTGTTAAGGGTCTCCCTTCGGCTCAGGTCATGATTCCAGGGTCCTGGGATCAAGCCCCACATTGGGTTCCCTGCTCTGTGGGAAGCCTACTTCTCCCTCTCCACTCCCCCTGCTTGTGTTTCCTCTCTCACTGTGTACGTCTCTCTCTCTCTCTCTCTCTGTTAAATAAATAAAAACTTTTTTTTTAATTTATTTATTTGACAGAGAAGGATCACAAGTAGGCAGAGAGGCAGACAGAGA